ATGCATTTGAATTGAATAGAGTAAGTCAGACTTGAAATCTCAATAGACTAGAAAATCTGTTGGAAACTGTAGATGGTTCCACAAGAACGGACTAGACTAACTGTAGCTTCTACTTTAAGGATTTATTTCAAAAGGAAAGTAGAAGTTTAGCCCAAAGGAAATGAAATTTGAGAGCTTAAATCTCCATCTTAAAAAATGGAAACCGATAGTTACAGTCATGGTTTTGACAATTAAGTACTAACAATCTGAGCACTCCGGTTAGTTTTTTGGCTGTTGATTAGGATTCCGTGGTGGTGATTAGCGAGTGTGAGGATGCAATCACATCTGTAGGGTTTAATCAGTCCAGCGCTGGAGAAGTTCGTCCAAACATGGAGAGAGAAACTAGAACTTCTGTATGTAATCCTAATAGGGTTTTTCCCCATGCTGCAGGAAGATTAAGGGTAAAAAGTAGAGAAGCCTGTCATTTGTTTTATTCCTCCCTGCCTGGAATTTGCAGGGTTTGTAAATGATAGTATTGACTTTCTAGTTCCGTGAGGCAGGAGTATAATGTCGTTGGCAGCTGTGAGGGGGTGAGGAGATGCGTGGCAGTACTCACATATGCAGCCTCTCAGTGGTTCAGTAACTCAGTTCTTACAGTTGTGAGCAGTATTTATTTTTCCATACTGTGTAACTGTGTATCTGGTTTTCATTTTTCTAAATCTAGTATTTTAATTGTTTAGCTTGGACATATACAGTATTTTTGATGTGCTTTATTTTCTTCTATTATGTGTTCTGATTATATGCTCTCTTTTTAGCATTTAAAACATTTCTCTTGAAAAAAATATTTACAAATATGAACATTTTGCCCTCTGTGCTCCTCTGAGGCAGATAAGTGGATGTTTATGCGTGTAGAAACAAAGAACCACAGTGGGTACCCTTGTCTACAAACGAAACACCAAAAGTAAAAACTTATGGATCTCTGCTCAGCGCATAGCTTCTCCGTGACCTTTCTGACTCTGGCTTTGAGTGATGGTGACCGTGTGCTGCTTCGCCCTTTAGAACTCTCTCTACCAGTAGATTCTTAACTTGGAGGAGAAAGAGGGGGGTGTGTGTGTGTGCAAGCAATCCTCCCGTTACCACCCTTCAGTGCTCCGGTACTGCTGTCACACCCGTTCTCTGCTCAGTAGAGCTCAGTTTGTGTAAATAACGTTGCCTGTGCCAGTGCACGTTTGTGTGCTGTTATGTTGGCACTAATTTCTTCCACATTGTCATTTAATGATTGGTTTCTTTATTCACACTTCTGTTTGATTTTTTTTGTTGTTGTTGTTATGTTATTTTCCCATAGCACCTATAGATCTGTACTCCACTGTCATAAATTCACGTAAGAAGTTTGTTCCTACTCTGCAAAGTTTGTAATCTAACAGCAGCGATCATGTTTTAAAGGAATGTTTTCTGGGGGCATGTTGCTACACAGATGATAATGTTTTGTTTTAATGGCAGGGTCTATCCATTTTATGTATATTTATACAGTGCCGAACAGAATAGGTGTGAGTGAACTTTGAAGTGTCTCAGTAAAAATAATTAGTGACGAACAGTGGTAGATACTCACGTGAACCTGTAGAAGGGTAAGGAAATACTTGCGGCTGTTTTAATTTTGTTTAGAACATGGGCTCTAGATGGCTGGAGTACCTTCCTGAACAGAGCTTCAGTCTGGAGAGGACAAAAATGGGAAGACACTGGCTCTGAGGTCCAAGTCAGTGGTTCCTGAGACAGTAATGGGTGAAAAAATATGCTAGAGATTCAAAGTGAAATGTAAACCAGAATATGACTGAGAATGCTGGTTTCATAAATAGGAGACAGATCTGTATGTGAGAGATAGGACAGAAGTAAGCAAAGAAAAAACAACCTAAACAAAAACCAATACCCCCAAACCAAAACCAGAAATTAAGTAGGAACATGCAAGGATTAGGATAATAAAATGCCAAAAATTTTCCAAAGTACAAAGTATCTCTCTGTTCCCATTAACTGGCCTCTACTTCTATGCTTCTATCGTGTGTTACAGAAAATTGTTGTATATCAATTCTGGTTTTCCGTGTTGTTGATGTTTGGTTCAGTTGACCTTTTCATCCTTAGGAAGCAAAAAATCAGTAGGACTGCAATAACTGTATCTTATATATCTCTGAACAGGATGCTGCTATTGCCTTTTTGGCTGAAAGGTCCTATAGCTCAGAATATTTAACACATGTTTTTTAAATAAACATGTAATGTTGTATCACATTAGAATCAATAGTAGTACATTATTGTAGACATACAAGACAAGCAAGGTTCATAGGGAAAAGAAATATCTTTCGTTCAGGCAACTGTTTGTAGCTTAAAAAGGGCCCAAACACATAAATAAGCCTTTGATCACGGAAGCTCTTCTTAACTAGTGTCACTAATGACAGCAGTTTTTCCTGAACAGAGATAATACTAATGATTTTGAAAAAAGAAAAAAGGGAAGACAGAACAAATGCATCTACTTCTTAGCTCTGTGGGTAGTATTTACATGTACGGTGTTTACTTCTGGAATTCATTCACTGTAGTGTTAAATCATTAAGTCATAAAGGACTGTCAGCGCATTTAAGGAGCGAGAAGTGTAAGCAGAACACAAGTGGACTAAAATGCTGTAGCACCGAGTGCTGATTTATATTTCAGCAAGGCACAGTGAGCTGCGTAGTCTAGCCTGGCATCAGTTGGTCTGTGAGTGCGCAGAATGTCTGCTTTACTTAGCAGTCAGTAGCAGCTGAGCCACAAGCGCCGCTGTAAATATCAGCACAATAAATTTACACTAGCTATGGTGTTTAAGTGCACTTTCTTCTTCTTTCCCCCTACCATAACCATCCCACACTCTTAAGTATATGTGGTTCTGTGTTCACTCTTCTCTCTGTGTGCAGCACAACACCCTGAGAGAGCGGTAGAGTTTGTAAACCCATCTTGAAGGCCAAAGAGATGAGGCCAAATTAATGCAAAATTTCCTATCTGTGTTTTCCAGAAACAAAACCCCAAATGATAAACAGCATTACTAAATATCCAACTATCTAAAGTTAATCTGAATAATCTCATAGTCCGCATAGCTGTAGTAGTAATGTGGGGTGGGTTTTTTTCCTAGTAATGTGAAGAAAATAGTACTTGAGCTAATCTACTCCTTCAGAAAAATAAAAATCAAGTGGAAAGATGCTGAGCGTCAGTGCCTGGCAAAGAAAAGCTAAGTACAGCAGCTTTGCTGTGAAATTTCAGGAATCTTCCTTCTAGCCTTGACTGCCAGATTGATGCTGAAGAAAAGCTTAAGCATCCTCGCTCCCTTGTGCATATTATTACGTGCCTCTGGAACTTTTTTCTTCTGCTCAGTTATTCTCTTTCTTTTCATGAAAGCTTACAAAGAAAGGGAATAGATTATAATAATATTGTAGCACCAATGCTATTGTGTTTGCAGTAGCCTTAGCCCAAGATAATGATTTGATTAGCATGGCTTCTTCACTTACCAGAATTAAAAATACATGGATTTTCCTGGGATTCTGTGCAATCAGGACGATTTTTTTTCACCTTCTTTCTTCAGCTGTGTATCTTTGCGGAGTAGTTGGAGGTTTAAAATAGGTATAGAGTCTTCAGTATAAGCTAAGGGCAAAAAATGAGTGCAGTGAGTCATCACAGTCGCTCCTGAAGATATCTGTAAAGTGTAAGTCCTATGCAATGTGTTTGTTCAAAAGGGCCATTGTTCCTGAAATCACTGGTGAGAGTTCTTCTAAATTTTAAGGAGTTTTTTTTCTTGCAATTTCGTTGCTATAAATGAGATTTGACATTTCCAATTTTGATATTTGAATGGCCTCAGGGTGGCTTTGGAAAAATTGACACACAGAATATGAAATGCTTAACAAGAGCATTAAAGATAAACTAATAGTTCATAGTGCAGTGAAGGAGCAGAGTGATTTAGTGGATTCTAGCAATCCAAAGAATTTTGATGGTGTTGAATTACCTACAAAACCCCCAAGTTTTATTGCTTTAATTAAATTGTTGATAGAGGTATGCTTTCTAAAGTATTAAAACTTTTTCTCCCTTTCTTTATGGCTTTTGCTTCTAGCTGTATAACACAGAGAAGTTGTGTATGTTGGCAGATAAGTAGAACTATTCCCTTTGCCAGAGGGTGTAAAATGTTGATCCCACTGAGGTTAGTGAGAACTTTGCTCTCGGCCTCAGGCCTTGAATACAAAAAAAGCACCCTTTAGTACAGCTGGTTTTGAGTTTTCTAACAGAAGCCGTTGTGACTACTCAGGAACATCTATATCACGCTTGGAATCTTACAGGTTGTTTAAAGGGGAAAAAAAAAAGAAGATGCTTTTCTGCATCAATTCAGACCTAACAAAAATGAAACAAAGTCTTTCTGATATAGAGCTTTGATTATTCTCCTTTATGCTTCGGTCCATTTTGCAGCAAGACTTGGCGTGATTTGTATATTTGATGTCTGACTCATAAAATTTTTAATCTTCTTAGTAGAAGGTAAAGATAAAAATACTTACAATGTAGCTTATAACGTAGAAATGGTTTCGGTTGTTTCTATTGCTAGAATTTGATTGTAGTCTGTTAAACTTTTATTTCTCCTAATTTTCTGTTTCTAAATGTATATTCTTTAATGTGAAAATAATTGTTTTTACACCCCTCCCCATCAAAGCATTACCCAGAGCGAACAAGTGATGTCCACCCTCATTTCATTCCCTGAACTTCCAGTCTTTATTAATTTTCTAGTTGATGGACTTTTGAAAATGTTTTTTTTGTGTTCTTCTTTTGAATATGTGAATGATTTTGAGCTTATTTCTTTGCTTCAATAATTGTAAAAGAGACTTCCATATTGTGATCTTGAATTTCAGTTTTGCAGATGGTATTCATGCTGATAGTTTATCACAGCGGTATGGCTTCTCTCTAACATGGACAATCATGAATACAGCTTTGGCTTGAGGGAAGGTGTTCTCTTTTTTTTGTCTCTGTAGAAATACTGCAGCACAGTCCAGCTTGATTCTGGAACAGACTACAGGAAACGAGTGCTTCCTGCTGCTGGAAAACTTTACTACCTGTAAGTTTATCTATGACATGGTATTTGCCCTCTTTTTGCTTCTTATTAGCCGTTAATTTCCTAGTCAACGGGAAATGAAAAATGTGGAGTAGAATTAGCAGAGTGTGACTTTTCCTTTCTTTGCCTTCTGGTCCATTTTGTTCAGCAAACCGCCTTCCATTCTGCCTTGATATTAACTTCATTAAACTACATTTTCAGTATCCACACTAGCATCATTTATAATGTGTGACTGAATAAAAACTAATTAGATTTTTTTGGGGAGGTGTGGTGTTTGGAGAACTGAAGTGACAGATGGTTAGAAAGTAATGAATATCCTCTTGTAAGAGATTGCACAATTCTCTTATAATAGAAGAACATCCTTATTGTATTTAAGTAATTAAGTATTTATAGAAATCTAGTGACAAGGATTCATTTAATGTTGGGTGTTTCTAGTGCTGTGGATTAAAAAAACCCAACACCCTCCTATTTTGACAGCTTGTTTCTGTTTATAATGACAATTTCTTTAGCACTTTATATTTGCAAATAAATATATTTTAAAATATGTTCACAGTTGTGCTTATGGTTGCGGCATGTATCTGCCTAATAGAAACATCCTCTCTTTTTTCTAAAATACTTTAAAACCTTTGCATTGCAGACATTTTTCTGTCTCGTATTTGCTCTTACAGTATTTAATCAATGACAACCTGAACAAGGCAGACAAAGATAGCTTAAAATGAGATTTATAACCATTGTAGTTTTCAACACAATATTCAATGTTGATTTAAAAATCATGTTTCCATGAAGAAAGGTGCAGTATTTTCATTGATGTGACAGGTATTTGAAACAAAGAATGTCCATATCACTTTATAGTAAAGCTAGAAGTTGTAGTTGTTTGTCTGGAAGGAGGAGTACTGCTTAGTAGAACTACAACTAACTCTTTCTGCTTCTGGAAGCAAATGACAGAATTTGGTGTAAGGAAAATGGGTCAAATGCAGGTTCTGTATTTTCAAACAAAGCGTGACTGTATGAACTCAAGAAAAGTAACTCTTGTTCTGTATTCTTGCCTGGCTCCACTTTAAGTTTGCGGTGTCTGCTCAGAAGTACTGTCTGAAGCCGCTGCTGTTCTCTCAGCGTTACTCATCGTGGCTCTTGTTCTGATGGCTGTGTAGCTGTCCCTGCTTACGGCTCTGCTTATTGTGCCCGTTGCGTTCCATGACTTTCATTTTGTTAATTGTGGAGAGCACCTCCCATATTCTTTTCTCACCGTCCGTACTCTGAAGAAAGGAAGAGTATGTATGTGATTTCTAGCCAGTAACAGGCTAAACGTGGTGCCCGTGGCAGCGGCCCTCAGAGGAGAAGAAACAACGAACAAGTCCCAGGAGTGGTACCAAGCTGAAGTATTTCTTGGTGTTCTGCTGTAAAGCTTGTGAGCAAGTGAATGGCAGAGGTTGGTGAGAAGTCTGTCTCGTGTTCTTTCCGTGGAAGGATGTTGGTTACCTCTAGAACTCGGTGTGTAAATCATTAGGAAGCAGTGGGGGAAAAACAATTCATTGGAGCTTTCAACCCTGCACAACTAGCTTAGTATGTGGGGATTTTTTTGTTTGTTTTAAAATTAGGTACTATACAATATTTTGCTACAAATTTTTGAAATTTAGTTAGCAGTCTTGCCCCCAGAAGAAAATATTCTTGTCCAACATTTACATTTCCTATTAATGGTTATAGTATCATCATTATATTTTTTTTTAAATCCTCTTGATGCTTCATAATTTGTGTAGTCTTGTCCTCATCTAAAATACGCAACTGAGGATTGCTTAAAGCTGTTTCATGCTCATCTGAAAGCAATCAGAGTAACACAAGATTCCTGATCAAAGCAACTTTCTTGATCTCAGTCTCAGGTGTCTATTTCCAAAACAGACTTTCTTGGCGATTAGGTGCAAATATGCACCTAGGCATCATATTTGGCTGTTTCTTCTTGTACCCTTTACATCAAACTTTTTGATAGTTATGTGCATACGTATGTGCATATTGTCTGATATATATGCACTCTGTCCCCCCTTTTGTGGCTTTTTTCTGGTTTTGTCTGTTCCTTTTCATTTGTCATTTTGTCAGAGGAAAGCAGCACAGAAATATCAGTGTTGAGAAAAACTTCTTTTTTTGAAGTTACAGTTTTATGTAATCTCCTAGTCAGAAAAGGTTTTTTAAAGTGTTTGAAATGGCACTTGCAGAAGTTTGTGGGGTTTATTCCCAAATTCTTTGTATCTACAAGGTTTGCTGTCGTTAAGCTTGAGATAAAAAGTAGTTACTTCAGTTCTGCTGTTAGCATTTGTAAGGTGCCTAAGGCCTCATGAACAGGAAAGTAACTGTGTAACATGCTGATCATCACTTCTCATTTAGAGGAGGTCTAGAACTGGGTGAAGAAATGCAATGTGAGTGCTTCCACGATCAATAAAAGCAGACTTTTCACACCAGATGAGATTATACAGACTTCAGTGAAGCATTAATTTACTATTCTCAGCTTTCAAACTCAGCTAGAAATATTATGTCTTTCTGAATGAAACACAGAATGGTTGGTCCTCTAACCCACTCAGTGACAAAAAATATTCTCAGATCAGACTGATTTATAATTCTTGTAGCAACCAGAAGGTGAATACAAACTTTGCTTCAGCTCTCAGCACGGATATTTTGCATTTTCACTGTCTACGGTTGATCTTTTCCCAAATAGTATTTGGGCCAGAGGGGGAAACTGAAATAATTACTAATGCTGGGATCATGCTGGTATTTTAAATTTCATGGTTTAATTCTGCAAATTGTTTGATCAATAGAATCAGTTGACTTGATTCCCCCCCCCAAAAAAAAAGCTGCTCCAATATTTAATTTCACAAAGTCCCCTCTCAGAAATTTCAAAGGATACTTCTTTAGGTGCTTGACTGCCTTGCCTTGTCTGTCTGCTCTTATTTTGCATGCAAGATAGAGCCAGAAGCCTTTTTTCTCATTGTGTACACATAGCGTTAATGGATCTGCTCTGCCTGTATTGCCTCATTACTGGAAACAGCTCAAAACACAGAAGTCTTTCAGTGTATGCAAATAAGGCAGAATCATCTACCTGAGAGTTAATATTCTCTACTTTTAAGTGTATTCTAAATCTAATGTTTGTATTTAGAGCATAACATCCTGTTCTCTTTTTTTATGGGCAAAAAGCTAAGCAGGCTCAGGCAGCTGTTTGATGTTGGCTTCAAGTGTTATTAATTTCATATTCTATTATTCTTTTCACTGTAGCACAAGTGAAGCTGATGTGGAGGCTGTCATGGATAAGTTGTTTGATGAGCTGGCTCAGAAACAAAATGATTGTACGTAAGTTAATTTCTCTTGAAAGAGAATACATTTAGAACACAATGCCCAATCTCCACTGACCAATTAATAAGTTCCATTGCTGTATATGGGTTGATGCCACACTCAAGTGGCAGTCATTGTATCAGCATTTTGTCTAATTTATGTGTTGAATCATGTGCTATTATTCATCAAGCTATGCATTTCCTATCTGTAAGAGATGAATTTTATAGTAATTATCCAGAGAAGATTGAGTCTTTGTTCATGTTCCCATAGTAACTAGACCAAGGATTCTAAAAGTGCAAGGCAGAGAGCTGAGGCTGAATAAAGCGTGTGGAACCATTGCAGACTTCACGTTTGAAGAGCTGTGCGACAGAGTGAGTACCCAGTGAAATCTAGATCAGTTAATGCTCAGACTTTTCACAGTTTAAAAGAAATCTGAAACACAAAAACTTGCTGTTTTCCCAAACTGTACTAAATTAAAAGGGCTTTTATTAACTTGGCAGAAAGATTTTGAATTTAATGGGTGGGGGGGGGAACACGGCACGATGACATGACCTCCTAAAAGAATAATAATAATTTTCTTTTTAATGATACAGTAAATTCACTCTGAAGTATATCACAGATTGGCTTCAAAAATCCTAATACTGTGTGTACCTGGGCTAACATCATTGCTGGAATATTAGTAGTCATAACATATCAATATGTAAATAGCATTCAAATACAGTTTTCAAAATCTGGGGTTTCAGTTGATACTCAAGCAAAGGAATAGTAACCCTGGCACCACTAGAGTAAAGCTGTTGTTGCATGCCTTAGTTGTGACTAGCTGTACAAGGGCTGTTTAGTCCCAGGCCTTCTCAAAATTTGCCAAATTTTGCTAAATACTGCCAAATTCTCTGCTAAACATGCCGAGTGTGATTCCTGAAAAACTCTGTCTGTGGATGATCTCCAGTGGGTTTGAAGGCAGTCGCCTAGAAGTTGTGTTGTACTTCAGTGACCTCTCTGCTGACACCTGAAGTTGTTAAGTGATCATGACTCTAAACTGGGACGATAGCACCTTTGGTCAGTCTTTTGATATAAGGTTATGTTTTCACTTCCTTGTAGCTACCAAGTTGATAACTATTTGGACAGAAATTTCACTGATTATGTTTCAGACTGGAGGTTTTAGGCTTTGTTGGTTTGTAGTTTCAGACAAAAGCAGTTAACTGTTTGTGAGAGTTGGAGGTATGTCATGGGTAAAACAGCTTGCTTTTCACTACAAGTTTTGAGACTTTTTCTTCATTGTGCCTCTTAATGTATCAGGAAGCTATGTTGTCAGCAAACACGTGTAAAATTCTGTAGTCCAGTAAATGCCTTATGTACTTAAATGGGGTGATAAATTGCTTCTAAGGAGAAGTGTTCTGGTAGCTCAGGTGGCAGTGGCCATTACTTCGGGTCTGAAGGTTCTGATCCTGTTGAAGGATTACGTGGGGTTCGGACCGTCTTGGTGTAACAGAGCTGAGGTGCTGGGTTTGCGCTCAGAGCAAGTAAAGATAATCCTTATGAAATGTTAAACACCATGTAACAGTATTGTTATTACGGTGATCACCCAGGACTTGGGAAGAATGCTGCCTCAATTCAGATACCCTTTGCAGATGTGTTATGATAGTCTCTAATGGAATAATCACATGCATAAAACTAAAACAACATGGCAGACGCTGAGGTGCTGGGTTTGCGCTCAGAGCAAGTAAAGATAATCCTTATGAAATGTTAAACACCATGTAACAGTATTGTTATTACGGTGATCACCCAGGACTTGGGAAGAATGCTGCCTCAATTCAGATACCCTTTGCAGATGTGTTATGATAGTCTCTAATGGAATAATCACATGCATAAAACTAAAACAACATGGCAGACGATAAATGTTTTTCACAGAATCACAGAATCACAGAATCACAGAATAGTAGGGGTTGGAAGGGACCTCTGTGGGTCATCTAGT